GGAAGGAAGGAAGGAAGGAAGGAAGGAAGGAAGGAAGGAAAACTGAATTTCAGCGGAAAAAAGAAAAAGGACTTAAGGCTCCCATATCCTGATAGGACTACTCTAGGATAGTAACAGCTAACCTAACCCTAATCCTGGTACTCTCTGAGCTTGGTCGTTTTCTTGCAGACATTTCATTACCCAACTAGGTAACATTATCAGTTCATCCCCACTGCCTTATAGCCCTGATGATATTACCTAGTTGGGTTGTGAAATGTTTGCAGCAAAATAACCACCGAGATCAGAGAGCAATCCTCCTGCTCTTCCTCCCCCACAACTCCTCCTCCTCTCCACAGAGGCCCCTCCCCTCTCACGCTGATGAGGTTCCATTATGAAAACCAACAAGCTCAGAGAGCCCCAAGGACCCCACTATCCTCCCCTCTCTTCCTTCCTTCCTCTTGCCCTCCTTTTCCTCCCTCCCTTCTAGCACTGATATTTCCTAGCTGGGTCATGAGATGAGAGAAAACAACAGAAATTAGAGAGCACCCAGGACCTCATAAACTTCCTCCTCGTCCTCCCTTCTACCACTGATGATGTTCCCCAGTTGGGTTATGAAACGTCTGCCAGAAAACCACCCAGCTCAGAGAACCCCAAGGACCCCACAATCTCTGCAAACCCTGTTCCTTCCAACCCTCGATGACATTAGCTAGTTGGGTCATGAGACGTCATCAAGAATCAATCCTGAGCCTCGGCTCCAAATCAAACTCACTCAAGCTGGAAAGAGAAACGACAACGACAACCACCACAACAAAAAGGGGACTGGATTGTGTCAGACCTTAACTTTGTCTGCCTGGGCGTCGTCCATGTCGGTCTCCATCTTGTCCTCCTGAGCTCCATCTAGAAGACAAGAAGATGGACCCTGAAGATCACACCCTGGATGGACGCCAATCAATCAAGGCGACAGAGCTTGGTCCTCGAGTTGACGACCCGAATGAACCAGCCAAGGAGTGCAAAACGTTGGTGAAGGGAGTTGGCGCCACTTTATGGCTTCTCTTTCTGCCCTCGTTCCAAGTACGGAAGTCAGTGATAAGAACGGTCGTTAAGTGAAGCTAGATTTCCCTGTCGCCTTTGCTCGTCAGAAGGTTGCAAAAGCCGATCATGTGAGCCCCTCTACCCCCAGGATGGTCCTTAAGTGAATCTGGATTTCCCCACGGATTCCGCTCACTGGGAAAGTGGCAACAACGGATCGCGCGAACCTCAGGACGCTGCCAATGTTATAAATGTGGAACCGGTTGGCAAGTAGCTGAATTTGGATCACGTGGCCACGGGGATGCCGCAACGGTCGTTAAGTGTGAAAAAACGGTCCTTCTTTTTTCAGCAGCGTTGTAACTTTGGTCACTAATGAACTGCTGTTAAGTCGAGGACAATCTTGAATGGTACGATAGAACACCTGGTGCTTTGGACGTGCAAAGATATGACGCCGGGAAAACGGAATCCTCCGTTAATGCAACTTACGACGATTGAGCCTAACAGGCAAGGAGGAGTCAGAATACTGAGCGGTATGATGGGATAGAGGGTATAAGCGGATAGAACACAGGAATAAGGATTAACGTATACAAACAAACATAAGTGTATGTAATATCTATGACACAATACCGTTAACAACGTAAAGAGAGATGTGTGATTTGGAAAATAAACAAATAAAACAAACCCCTTTCCCCTCCTCCCTTTCTGTGGGCAACTCTTAAAAAGACCATAGAAATATTTTAGGAGTTGACACACTGCTGTTATTCAGTTAGTTTTTAAGTGAATCTGACCTGGCTTGGCTCGCAAAAGGGGAATCATGTGACCTTGGGACATTGCGGCGGTCGTAAGTACGAAACTGTGGCCGAGCACCTGAAATTTAACCCTGTGAACCTCTGAAATGGTTGTAAGTGTGAAAAATAGTTCTATTTTCATTGCCATCGTCACTTCAAACAGTCACTAAATGAGTGACTGAACTCGACTTACGACCTCCACTGAGTCCGTTGCTAAGCGAGACAGCCGTCCCCAAGTCCCTTGTTTTTCATCGCTGTTGTCACTTCAAAGGCTCACGAAACAAACCGCCGCTAAGTTCGAAAACTCTCCATCAGGTTATATGGCAACACGACAGGGCAATAAGAGATACTTTAATAATATCTCTTATTTATATTTATAATCATTTTAAAGTCTGTCTGAAAGGACAGAACCCCAAAGATTCAAAAAAGAGGGAGGGAATTTTTTATTTTTTTTAAAAGAGAGATTTAAGCGGATGAAAGGCGTTTTATTCCCATTTTCTCAACTGCCATAAAATTATAACTGCTTCCATATGAGGTTGTGAAATCAATTCAATTTTCTTTCTTTCCCTTCCTTCCTTTTTCTTCATCCCTTCCCTCCCTTTTTTCTTTCCTTTTTCTTTTCTTTGTCTCCTTCCCTTTCTCCTTCTTCCTTCTCTTTCCTTCCCTTCCTTTCTTCCACCCCTCCCTGCTTCGTTTTCTCTTTCTTGCCACCTTTCCTTCCTTCCCTACTTCCTTCCTTCCATCTTTCCTTTCTTCCTTTTTCTTTGTCTCCTTCCCTTTCCTTTCTTGTCTTTCCTTCCTTCGTTCTGCCCTTCCCTGCTTCCTCCCTCCCTCCCCTCCATGCTATCTTTCTTTCATTTCTTTCTTGCCTCCTTTCCTTCCACCTTCCTCTTTCCTTCCTTCTTTCTTCATTCCCTCCCTTGTCTTTCTCTTCCGTTCCTTTCTTTTCTCTTTCCTTCCTCCTTCTTGTCTTCCTTCCTTCCCTCCTCTTTCTTTCTTTCTTTCTTTCTTTCTTTCTTTCTTTCTTTCTTTCTTTCTTTCCCTTCCTTTTTCTGTTACTTCCCTCTGTTCTTCTTTTCATTCATTCCTTCTGCCTCTCCCTGCTTCCTCCCTCCCTCCCTCCACTCTCTCTTTTGTTTTTAAGTCTCCTTCAGACACAACAACTTAACTAGCATCTGGCCATCAAACACCCCCCCCCCCCCCCCCCCCGGCCTAATCCCAAAAGAACACAATCTGGTTGTGGTCTCACGCAAAGCAGCAATCCCAGGGCCAGAAGGGAGTTTTCCAAAATAAGACAAATGGCAATAAAAAAAGACAGACTTACAGCCGTTTCTCCCACTTACGACCTTCACCTGCATTACCCGAGACTCACCCTTATGACCGTCGCGGTCTCCCGAAGCCATGCCACCCCCCCCTTTGCTACCTTCTGAGAAACCACATCGGGGGGGCGGGAGATGCCCCTTTCAGTTCCCAAACGGGCAACTCAACCTACCGATGGCTCGATTCACTTAGCGACTGGGGTAAGAATGGTTGTCAAAATGGGTCAAAACAAATGATCTCACCCTTCATGACGTACTTTGAGGGCTCAAGGGCAGTTGCAAATTGAGGATAACCCCCCCGAACAGCCCTCAACATATGGTATATAGGCAGTCCTTGACTTAAGAAGAGTTTGTTTAGCGACGGCCACCGATCCACAACCGTTGTTTAGCCGAGGACTGTAGGCAGAGTCTCTAGGGGGGTAACCCCAGCGCGGGGGCCCCAGTATGATACCCCTGAATTTCCATTTCGTCCATTCGAGTGGATCAAGGCACCGTCAAGTTCTGTCCTCATGTAACAACCATAGCTGGCCATAAAAGGGAGTCGTCAAAGGTTCAAGTTTCCCTTTTGGTTTTTTAAAAATCGGTTGTTGGGCTCAGAGGTGAAAAAAAAAAGTGGGGGGAAGGATAGTAAGTTGATGGACGGTGTGTAGTGGTTTAGGTGCTGGCTTCGAAACCAGAAGACGGGGGAGTTGTAGTCCAGGTTAAAGTGTGAGAGGAGGCTGGGGGATCGTGGAACGGTGAACAGGAGAGAGTGAATTCTAGTCTTTCCTCAGGAAGGAAGGGTGGGTGGGTGGGTGGGTGACTCTGAGCCATTCCCCAGGAGACTGGGAGTTCTGGTCGGAAAGAGCATTACGTATGCGTGGCAATTTCAGTTCCTTATCAAATGAATAAAGTTAGATCCCAGGAAAGAAGCAATGAAACCGGCTCTGCCTTGCCCAGAGCAATGAAGGATTTCCTTCCCCGCAGGGGTCCCAAACGCTCCCCGACCCTCCGCAGGGCCTTCTTGGGAAGGTCAGCCAAGGGGGCAGCTTAGTGCCTGAGCCCCCCCCACACGCACGCACCCCCTGTGGGGCGCCCATCTGCCTGGGCTCTTAGACTAAGAGGTCTGGGGGTGGGGGGGAATGTTCTTAAAGCCGCCGTCTTCTGAGGTGCTGGTCAGATCAAGCAGACGACGGGGACGGAGGGCAGAGCGATTAGGAGGAACAGGAGTCGGGAGGGTTTCCGGCTGGAGCCGAGGGTTGGGGTAGATGGCTTCTAGGGTCCCCCCGATCTCTACTGATTCCATAAGGGTCTCCCTGCTTTGAGGAGTTTGGACCGCAAGACCTTCAAGGCTGCCTTCCAACTGTACGACTCTGAAAGGGCCTCCGGTTTGAGCAGGGGGGCCGCCAACCTTTTGGACCTCAGGGACCACCAAACTCATAATGTCAAATCTCGGGGGCCACGATATGAATTTGGACAGAGGGCGGCTTGCTGACGTTGGTGGGAGGAAGGAGGGGAGGGGAGGGGAGGGGAGGGGAGAGAGAGACGACCTCCAAGGTCCCTCCCAACCCTGTGATTCTGCCAGGGTCTCAGGTAATAATGGAAGGGACCTTGGAGGTCTTCTAGTCCAACCCCCTGCTCGAGCAGGGGACCCTTAGAGAGACATGGAATGACAGGCGTGGAACTTGGAGGTCATCTAGTCCAGCCCTTGCTTGCATAGGAGACCCTCGTGGAATCACAGAGTTCGAAGGGACCTTGGAAGTCATCTAGCCCAACCCCTTGCTCTGTTGGAAGGGAGCCTCGAAGGCTATCTAGCCTGATCCCCTCTCCTGCAGGAGACCTTTACAGGATCAAGGAAGCACAGAGGTGGAAGGGATCCCGGGGGGTCATCTAGTCCAACCCCCTCTCTGGCAGAAGACCCTATAACTGTCAGAATGGGAGAGGATCTCCTGCTCGAGCAGGGGGGTTGACTAGATGACCTCGAGGGTCCCCTTTCCAATTCTGTCACTCTGCCCCATCCAACGACCTTTCTTGCCACCATTGTCCAGCGAATCCCTGCCATTGTGAAGTTAGCCACACGGTCGTTCCGTGAATTGCCTCCCCTGTTGGCTTTTGCTGGCCGGAAGGTTGCAAAAGGGGATCGGATGAACCACAGATACGGCGACCGTCATAAAGACGAGTCAGGGGCGAAGGATCAGGTTGTAAGTGTGAGAAACGGCTGTACGTCCCCCCCCCCCGCTTTTTTTTACCAGCGCCATCGTAATTGTGAATGACTCACCAAAACGAACCGTCATAAGTCCAAGACTGATTTGGATTACAAAACAGGAATTGTAGATGGGGGAGAAATTGCATCGTCAGGTTTTGGCTTTTCGTTTACTGACACTGCCCGGGCGCTAAACGAACGGTTGTAAGTCAAGAACTGCCCCAATTGTAGTTGGGGAGAGAAACAGGGTGACAAGGGTTTTCGCATTTCATTTAGCAACTTGGAACCGTCCTTAACCGAACGGTCGTTAAGTCGAGGACTAACTGGATTTGAACCCCCGCGGACTGGAAAAGGGGAGAAATTCCGCTGGCAGCCTGCAGAGACGGCATAATTCCCAGCCGTTGAAATAAAAAAGAGAATTGTTGGGACTAAGCGTGCGCTTAATTATGGTCACAGGAAGCCTCGGTCAGAATCTAGTGGGTCTCCCTGCGTTTAACTGGAAGCCCAAATAGGGCATATCGGGACTCCTGGAGGGGGGGGGGAGCCCGCAATTTAACAACCAGTTCAGCCGACGTGGTGCGAACCGGTTGAATCCCCCCACTGGACGTACCCATTTTCTCCGGCTCATCGGGGGCCGTCCCGGCAATGCAGCTGCTCTCGAGCCCGTAAGTGGGGTCTACTTTCCCTGAAACACGAGCCGCTTCTTGGACCTTCCTGATGTGGGCCTCCACCAGCTCCAGAGGGACTTCTTCTCGGACGCGGGAAAATTCCTCTGCAGGACCAAAAAACACTGGGAATTCAGAAGGGACCTTGGAGGTTTTCTAGCCCAACTCTGGAGATCCCTTCTAACCCCTTTGGGAGAAAATGGGCTATGCGCTTTTTGAAAAGCCCTTTCCAGGGATGGGAGCTTGGGGGAAGGCTCGTCTGTCAAAAGGGTTGGAAGACAACCGCGCTGGGATCGTGCGAGGAACTGCCCCCGTCAGGGGAGGCATCTTGGGACTGCTGGAACCCCGTTGTACGTGGGGCTACCCTTGGAGAGTGTTTGGAAGAAGACGACTGGGGTGTGTAGAAGGCGGCGGGGGCTGATTGAGTACGTATGTGGAGTCCTCGGTGGTCTCTGAGCTGGATGGTTTTCTTGTAGTTTTGTGACCCAACTAGGGAACATCGTCAGGGCTAGAAGGGTGGGAGGTTGGCTCTCTTCTTTATCCATCCATCCATTTTCTCTTCCTCCTCCTCCTCCTCCTCCTCCTCCATTTCTTTCTAGTCTTGATGACATTCTCTAGTTGGGTCAGAGACCAGCCTCAACTCACCTCCCCCCCCCCCCGAGCGACCAATACTCTTCTTCCTCTCAAGTTTCCCTATCTAGGGAACCCGGTTTAGCCTCTAAGCTAGGCGTCGTCAACCTTAAACACTCATAAGAGACACAAAGGTCGTAATTGGAAGCCCCCCGCTCAATTCTGGAGCCGACCAGAAGTCCGGTTCCCCCACCATAGTCTCCTCCTAGCATGGCATCCTTTTTCCTCTGCCTGTTCTAAGAAAGCCTTATCAATTGGGAAGCTGACCAGCGACAGGGAGCCACAGCAGAGGGATAAAAGAGCCACATGCGGCTCCAGAGCCATGGATTGCCAACTCCTGATCTAAGCCAAGATCACCAATCCTGGTCCGTACAGCGGTGGGAATGAGGGGTGGGTGGGAAGAAGACCCATACCTAAAGCGGCTTTGGCAGCGGCCGAAGCCACCCGTGGATCCACCACTGAGGCCAGGAAGGCCACGGTGCTCATGACCGGATTGCCGGATTGGCTGAAGGGGACGGGCTGGTAGGCCAGGGGTCCAAGGGAGGCATCCGAGTTCTCCAGGTAAGGGTCTTCAATGGGGAGTCTAAGGAAATGGAGGATGCACTCATCCTGGGTTCGACTCCCGACGTGCTCGGAGACTTTATTCCAGTCGTCCTTGTACATCTCCAATGCCTGGCGGAGAAGAGAATGATTTTTTTTGGGGGGGGGGGTCGGGGTCTCAGGAGCAACACACAAATTACACACATCACAATCCTATTGGTGGGATTTACTTATGACCTCAAGGAGCCCGAAATTTCCGCCGCTAAGCAAGATGTCTGTTGAGCAAGCTCACCGTCAGGATTCCGGTAGTTACCCCATTTAAATCATGAATCTTGAGCCAAACTTTATTGGGAGTTAACATGCTGGCACTGCCTGAGTGTAGCCGACTCTGAGGCACGTCATTCATTGTCACCCTTCCCCCTTCCCCTCACCCCTCTGGGTGTATCGTAATTCATATCCTCCAATGGGACACATCCATAGCCAGTCATGTTCTCCAGTTAGATATTTACGCGGCAGAAACTTCAGTCACTTTGCTACTATCTCTGAAAAAGTATGTATGGAATACAGTTTCGTTTTGCAAGCTGACATACTGCTCTTTCAAACCCCTTTCCCAGCCACTCCCTTTCTGTTGGCAATTCTAAAAAGACCACTGAAATAATTTTATGAGTTGACACTCGGCCCCTCATGTTTTAAAGTGAATTAAATTAGTCCCACGGTTGCTAAGCAAAGCGGTCTTCCCCCCACCCTTAAGTTCGCTGTTCGGGAGTCAGGATCAGAGATATTCAGACGGATCGAAATGGTAGCGAAAATTTTTGAAACCCACCACTGGTCGGGATCATGTGATTTTCCCACCTGTCCGGCCTGGGGGTCGCGGTGACCCTTGTTCATGCGGGTCATTTGGCAAGCACCTGAATTTTGATTGGGCAACCACGGGGGCGTCGTGACAGTCATTAAGTGTGAAAAACGGGTTGTAAGTCATGGTTGCCGCGTAACTCTGGGACACAATGACCGCCATAAATACGAGTTAGTGGCCAAGCGCCTGGATTTCAATCATGAGACCACGGAGAAGCAATGATGGTCGTATGTGTGGAAAAAAAAGGGGCATCGTAACTCAGAACGGGCGCTAAAGGAACCATCGTAAGTCAAGGACAACCTGAGTGGGTGCTTTATGGTGGTTCAAAGTCATTTAGATTCACTTGGACTTTGGTTACGGTACTAGAAATTGGGAGGCGGGGAGTTCTAGTTCTGCCTTAGGGCCTCAAGCCAGCTGGGTGACTTTGGGCCAGATGCTCTTGCTTAGCCCTAGAAAGAAGGCAATGGCCTTCCGGCCTTTAAGAAAACTTCGGGGCTCCTCCGTGCGTGATGAAGAGGAGGAGGAGGAGGGAGGGAGGGAGGGAGGAGGGGGCAGGAGCCAGTGATAGAGGGAGGAAAAGAGAGGAAGAAGAATAGGTTGAGGAAGGGGGAACAGGAGGAGGAGGAGACGAGGAAGGGGAAGCAAAGAGGAGAAAAAAGAGGAGGAGGAGGGTGGAGGAAAAGGAGAAGAGGAAGAAAAAAGGAGATAAAGTAGAAAGAGAAGAGGAAGTGGAAGAAGAGATGGAGAAGAAGGAAGTGAGGAGGTGGAGCAGGAAGAGGAAATACAGGAGGAGGAGGAGGAGGAGGAAGAGAAAGGGGAAGCAAAAAAGAGGGGGAGACGAAGAGGAAGAGAGGAAAAAGAGGAGGAGGAAGAGGAGAAGAGTGGAGGAGGGTGGAGGAAAAGGAGAAGAGGAAGAAAAAAGGAAATGAAGGAGAAAAGGGGAAGCAAAGAGAAGGGGAAAAGAAGGAAGAGATGAAGAGAAAGAGGAAAAAGAGGAGAATGGAGGAGGGGTGGAGGAAAAGGAGGAAAAGGAGAAGAAGAAGAAAGGGGGAAGAGGAAGTGGGAAAAGAGGTGGAGAAGGAAGAGGAAGAAGGGAGTGAGGAGAGGAAGAAAAGGAGAACATAGAAAAGGAGGAGGTGGAGGAGGGAGAGATGGAGAAGGGAGGGAGGAGGGAGCAGCAACAGCAGCGTTTTTTGGAAGGAGCCAATGGGAAAGGCCTGCTCTGCTGTTGCTATGGCAACAGGAAGATTGCCTCCATGTGGTTCCCCCAGTTAAGCCTTGACTGGAGGATGCTTTTCCCTCCCTTCCTCCCTTCCTTCTTTCCTTCCTTCCTTCCTTCCAACTTCCTTTGAATTCTGAACCTTCTTCTCCTTTCACCCGGAGGCCGCCTCTTCTTTCCCTACCAGCCCTTCCTTCTTGCCTTCCGTCCCTTTTTTCCTCATTCCTCCCCTCCCCTCCTTCTTTCCTTTCTTCTCCATTCCTCTTTCTCTTCCTTGTTTCGTCCATTGCTCCCCTTTTCTTTCCATCTTTCCTTCTTTTTCCTGCCTGCTCTCCCTTCTCCCTTTCCTTTTGCTTCTCCTTCCCCCACTTCCTTCTTTCTTCCATCGCTCTTTTCCTTCCTTTCCTCTTTTCTCCCTCCTTCCCCATTTTTTCGACCGTTCCTTTTTCCTTTCCTTCCTTCTTTTTCTTTCCTGCCCTCCCTTTCCTCTCTCCTTCCCCTTCCTTCTTTCTTCCATCCTTCCCTCCCTCCCCCTCTCTCTTTTCCTTCTTGCCTCCCCCTCGTCCCTTCCCTTTTCTTCCTTTCTCCTTCTTTCCTATTTCTCCTCCCTCCCATTTTTCCTTCTTTCTGTCCTCCATCTTCTTTCCTTCTTCCCTCCCCTTCTTCCTATTTCTCCTCCCTTCCCTTCTTCCTGCCCTTTCCTCCCTTCCCCTTCCTTTTACTTCCTTTTTCCTCCCTCCCTCCCCTCCTCTTTTCCTCCTTCCCACCTCCTCTCTATTCCTTCTTCCCTTCCCTTCTTCCCTATTTTTCCTCCCTTCTCTTCTTCCTCCCTCGTCACCCCTCTTTTCTTTCCTTCTTCCCCCCTCCCTCACATTTTTCTTCTCTTCCTTCCTTCTTCCTCCTTCCCTATTTCTGCCCTCTCTTCCTCCCCCTTTCCTCCCATCCTCCTCCCCTTTTTCTTCTTCCCCCTTTTCTTTCCTTCACCCCCCCGCATTCCTTCTTCCTCCCCCCTCTTCCCTTTTTTTCTTCCTCTCTCTTTTCTTTTCCAAGCCCCCTCCCCCCCCTCCCCCCCCTCCTTCCTCCCTGAGATCTGGCTTCGGCCAGAATAGTGAGGCGCGTCGTCACTGCTCAACTGGAGCTGCCTCCCGTCCACAGTGCAGCTCCCCTCCTTCCTTTCACCCCTTTCACCCGTTTGGTTGGCGCCTCCCCTCTACCGCTGCCCGCTCAATCTCCGTCCAATCTGATGGGAGGACGATGAGATATTGGGTTTATTGATCCGTTTGGGACGGCTAAGCAGAGGCAGCCTACCTCCTTCCGTCAGACACGGAAGGTGGTTTTGATCTAAGCTTCCTCCCCCTGTGTTACAAACCTCAATTCGTGGTTAAGACTCTAAATGATAGTTTAACTGACCGAACTAGACCACGTTTGGTCCTTCCCAGCTGGTGTGGATGCAATATGCGATGGAGAAAAGGAAGGTTACCCCAAAGTCAAAGAGGCCACCTCACTCTCTGGAGTGCGACACAATGCACAACCACACCAGAGGGAACTAAGGGAGCTTGTCGAAAAGGATTGACTAACCACCATTCAGAGGATTCAGCCCACTGTTGAGCGTACTGCCGGGAGACCTTGATGTATGACATCCAAATTTATCTTGCTACGTGAGAAATCTGTTCCATAAAGCCCCGCTTTATGGCGTTTCCTGCCATGTTTGTTAAGCGAATCCCGGCGGTTGGGAAGAGAGTCCCACAGTCATTAAGCGAAGCAGACTTCCAGCTTGTCAGAAGGGTGGCAAAAAGGGGATGGTGGGGACACGGCGACCGTTGCAGATACGAGTCAGTGGCCCAGCGTCTGAATTTTGATCAGGTGGGGGTGTTGTGACCGTCATAAATCCAAATTGGTGGCCCAGCGTCTGATTTTTTTGATCATGTAACCCGAGGACCTTGAGACTGCTGTCAAATAGGAATATCTGAATGGTGATCATGTGACCGCTGGGATGTTATGATGGACCTCATGTTCGAAAAAAGGGTGCTAAATCACTTTTTTCAGGGACGAGGTGAACACAAACACCACACACACACACACACACAAATATTACCTCAAGTAGAAGCAGAGTCTCTTGTTCTGTCCATTCTCGGCCAGCGTTGGCGCTTTTACTCTGGAAGGAAGAAATAATATATATATATAATCTAATTTATATATCTAATCTAATATCTCTCTCTCTCCATCATCTGTCCATCTATTTATCTAACCATCCTGTCTATCATCTGTCTCTCTCTCTCCCTCCATTATCTGTGCATCTGTCTATCCATGTATCCTGTCTTTCTATCATCCATCCACCTATCAACTCTACTTCGTCTGTGCATCTATCCATCTATCATCCATCTATTCATTCTATCTATTCATTCTACCTATCTATCATCTCTCCAACATCTGTGCATGTCTATCCATCTATCCTGTCTTGTCTATCATCCATCCATCGATCCAACCATCCACTCTATCTATATCTAATCTACCTATCTACCTACCAACCAACTCACCTATTATCTCTATCTACCTGTCAGTTTAAGCTATCTCGCTCTCCCTACCTACCAACTTTATCTATCCACCCACTCTCCCCCTCACCTACCCACTTACCACCTGTCCCCTCTGTGCGCTTGTTTTTGTGTGGGTGGGTGTTTGCGTGGGTGTGAATCATCCCTCCAATTGAGAGATTTGCTCATCACCTCCCCCTCCGAGCGAATTTCCCAGCTGCCTGGGAGGAAATACTTCCTCATTAAAGGAGCCTCGCCATTCTACACACTAGCCAGTTTTCAGACTGAAGATTATGCACAGAGGTCGTCTTGTTTCTCTAGCTTAGTATCTACTTCCAGAGGCGGGGAGTTCCACCTGCTCAAGGAAGGAAGAAAAAGGGGGGGGGGTCGTGGCTTGCCTTGGCTAAAGTTTTCTTGGAGTAGATGTCCGTGCGGAGGCCAAAATTCTGCAGATCCATCGGTTTCTCCTTGTTTTTCTCCGGGAAGGTCAGCATTTGTTGGGAAGCAGGAATCTAAGTTTTTAATAAAAGGAAAAGAAAAAGGCAGAATAATGAGAAGGGGGGGGGGGGGAGAATCTGAACACCCTTAAGGAGGAAGAAACCAAAAAACCCAACTCTCAATAAGCAAAATCAAGTTTATTTTCCGAAAAGATGCACATGAAGTACTTAGAAAATACGACAAGATCCCACCCACTCCAGGATGGATGGGTAAAAATTAAGCTTGGGTGGAGCTGCCCTACTCCTTACCTTTGGACAGGTGTAGCCAGGCTTTGCATACCCCGACTCCTGCCTGGCCGGCCCATTTCTCATGCAGCCAGCAAGGCTGGCAAGGCTTTCCCGAAGGCTTCTGGAGCTGATGATAAAGCTCTGGATCGATCCTATCGGCTGCAGGGGCCTTCAGGGAAGCCTTGCCAGGCATAGAGGAGTCCCCGAAGGCCTCTGACAGCAAAGAAGAGGTTGGGGGCGATGTGCGCAAGTGAAGTTTAGTCAGTGGATGACCCCCGCCCCCCAAATGAGACCTGGTGTCTTTTTTTGGTGGCAAAATAAAAACAAGACAGGGTCTTATTTTGGGGGGAAACACAGTACTATGCCTCCTCGCCACAGGTTAAAAATAAAATAATATATTTTTCCAGATCACAAGTACCAATGATAGGTGAGGGGTCATATCTAAATTAGGAAGAGGGGCCGAAAACTGAAATCAAGAGGTTTGAAAAAAAGAAAAGGAGGCGACCGAAGAAACGAGCAAAACAGTTTTCAGCTGTGGCGACTGGTAGCTATGTGGACTTCCAACTCCCAGAATTCCCCAGCCAGCACTGTGGGAAGCTCTGATCTATTTCTTTCTCTCTCTCCAACCATCCCTCCACCCATCTGTTCCTCAACCATGGTAGCTTAAAGATGGGGGTGGACTTCAACTCCCAGGAAGGGCGTTGGTACTTACCTGACACGCCCGTTCTCTGTGAGCTGTGAAGAGCACCCGGAAGTGGGAGGTGCTCCAGTCTCTTCTGGAAACGCTGGGCTTAAAACTCCGGGACGCTCCTCCTCCTCCTCCACGGGACACTTCCTCAGCGTCCCCCCGTTTTGCGAAGACTGAGTGCCAAAGTCCGGAACTCATCACCTAATCTAGATCCCTGACCGGAACGGAACCCCACCAGACGGAAAGAAATGGGTGGGGCCGGATGCTCTTCACAGCCCACAGAGAACGGGCGTATCAGGTAAGTACCAGCGCCCTTTCTCCCGTGAGCTGTTCGGAGCATCCAGAAGTGGGACGTACCAAAGCTTGGCCTGTCCTTAGGGAGGGACTCGGTCTGGATCGAAATCCACTCCTAAGCTCTGTGGACCCTCTGCAGGACCCTTCTGCCAAATGAAGCGTCCGCTGAGGCACAGGCATCGATTTTATAATTTCTGACAAAGGGCGATGGTGAAGCCCAAGTCGCCGCTCTGCAGATTTCGTCTATGGAAGCCCGAGTGGCCCATGCTGCTGATGTTGCCGCACTCCTTGTCGAGTGGGCTGCAATGCCCTTAGGAACTGAGATGGACTGGCATTCGTAACTTTTAGCTATGGTGGCTCTCAACCATCTAGCAATGGTCGTCGACGACACCTGGATGGATTTGAAGGATAGGAATAGAGCCTCAGATTTTCGAAATGCCGCTGCGTGGTCTAGATAGATGCTTAATGCCCTTCGAACGTCAAGTCGATGCCATTGATGCTCCAGTCTACGAGATGGTTTTGGACAAAAATTTGGAAGCACCAACTCCTGCGCTCTGTGGAAGGCTGAATTTACTTTAGGAGTGAACAATGGATCCAATCGGAGAAACACTCTGTCCACATGAAACACGCACAGGTCGTTTCTCACTGACAATGCTGCCAACTCGGAAATCCTCCTTGCTGATGAGATCGCAATTAAGAAGACCATCTCATATGTCAGGAATTTGAGACTAGCGGATCTTAAAGGCTCGAACGGGCCAGTTGTAAGTGCGGTTAACAGCTTGTTGAGCTCCCAAGTGGGACAGCGGTGAATTACAGGAGGTTGTAAGTTTGCCATCTCCGCCCATTGCCTCATTTCAATGGGAATAGTCTCAGGTAATCCCTCCCCCTGTCTTAAACCGGTGGCCGTAGGGGTGAAGGCTGCCTCTGGGATTCGCCGGGTAGTGCTCATTGGAGGAGATATGCCTATGGGAGGCTGAAATAGCCTGTCTGGGCTGGGGGGATAAGTCCAAGGACCCCAACAATGTACTTGGGCCCTGATCCGATTGTTGTGTCATAGCCATCTTGTCCGCCTCCCTGGCCCGTTTCTGCAACTGCCATTCCAAGGCTTGGTGCCGTCTATGGGCATCCTTATCCGCCGCCTTAGAGGCCTTTTTGGGGCCCACTGACTTATCTCGGGACTTATTTGTCTTGGAGCGGAAGATGTTGTCACCTTCCATTGTGGAGGACTGATTCTCGTGCCTCTAACTTTATTTTTTTTTAAATAATAATAATAATAATAATTGTTATTATTATTATTATGATTTGTACTTAGGGGTGATGCCTACCCCTGTGGTTGAAAGTAGAATGCTTCTCCAGGAGTGTAAGTCTATATATACATGTGTGTGTGTGTGTATGTATGTATGTATGTATGTATGTACGTACGTACACACACACACACACACACACACCGTGTTTCTCATATAATAAGGCCGGGTCGTTTTTGTTTTTTTTTGAGCCCCCAAAAAACTGCTAGGCCGTCTTTTCGGGGATGACTTAATCCTCCCCCCCTGCATCTTCGGGCGGGCGGCGACGGCTTGGATGTTGACCTCGGTGTTGGTGGGGCACTTCGTATCGGGGTCAACGCAGGCAGCACCATATCCAGGTGTGCAAGAAAAGTACTTCCTAACGGCAAGCCCCCTCCCCCACCATTCCCCCCCATTTCGCATGTTTTAATATAGGCCTTAATTTGGGGGGGGAGGGGCTTAATATAATCTCATGCCTATAAAACATGCTCGGAGTTATTGTTGGAGAAACAGGGTGTGTGTGTGTGTGTGTATACACACACACATACATATACGTGCCTATATCTACATGTAAAACTGTGTATATGGGAAACAGTATCTAAGGGTCCCCAACAAGGGAAACCCCCAAGCGCTCCAAGCAAGAAATATTCAGGATCCCTGGTCCCCAACAAGGGAAACCAGCTATACAGGGCCTGGATGGATCCTTTCCTGTCAAAAACGTCCCGCTGTTTGAAATGGCACTTGCGGCTCCGCTCCAATGTAATGATCCGAAAGCAATTGCAAAAAGAAAAAAAAATCCTGGGAAGTGAAGTGGGAAGGTACCTGCCCCGGTCCCCAAGAAGGGAAACCGGCGCCTGTGATATTTAGGTGCGAACTTGAAGCCAGCCGTTGAAAATGGCGGGAAGGCAGAATCTCCGGTGTTAATTGCCTGAGCAGTTTAACTAGCCGCTGCTGCTGACTCTCTAAATTGTCAGATAAATGATTCTGTCAGTCAAAACGGCAAGGAGAAGTGAGCTGCGGCTGCGAGAGCTCCGCCAAGATCGCAGAGATAAGGGGATCGGGGGGATTAGGTAAGCTAATTGCCTGAAGCGGCCGTCTCAGGCTGCCTGCGGAGTGGCAGGCTCCGCCAGCCACAAAGAACTGCTCTCAAACTGACCGGGGGGGGATGACCTAATAGAGCCACAAGCCTTGAAATCGCCAAATTAATTGGGGAAAAATTTACAAGCTGAATTAACTCAAGAGCAAACCTGAATTTTGACCAGCTGAATCAGAAAACTGTTCCAGTCAGGGAGTGCACAAACTCTTACCACGAAGGCTGAGCTAAAACTGGGGGACGCTGGGGAGGGGTCCCGTGGAGGAGGAGGGGGGTCCCGGAGTTTTAAGCCCAGCCTTTCCAGAAGAGATGGAAGCACCTCCCACTTCTGGGTGCTCTTCACAGCTCATGGGAGAATCCCTCAGCCTTCATGTTGAGAAGTTCTGAACTCTTTCCCTCCATCCATCCATCCATCCATCGGTTTCTCAACCATGGCAGCTTGAATTCAGCTCCCAGAATCCCCCAGCCTTCCTGTTGAGAAGCTCTGGTCCATCTCTTCCTCTCCATTCCTCCCTCCCAGTATTTTTCTCTGGATTGATCCGGAGCTCCGTTATCGGCTGCAGAGGCCTTCGGGAAAGCCTTGCCAGCCGCAGGAGGAGGCCGGGAGTGACACATGCAAATGAGGATGACGTCCCCCGAAAATAAGACCTGATGCCTTTTTTCTGGTGCCCCCCCCCCCCAAAAAAAGACAGGATCTTATTTTCAGGGAAACACGGTAATTAATGTGCCTTATTTTACTCCCCAATTCTTTATTACTTCAAATCGAAGGTGGTGGCTAAGGCTCATTTCTTTTTTTTGGTTTGTTTGTTTGTTTTAATTTTATTTCTTTCTTGCCTTGCCTGCGTCTGGTCAGGCCAAACCCAGAAACAAGTAAGGTTTTTTTGAGGTGGACAGGACTTTCTCCTGTCTTGAAGGCCATCAACTGAAACCCAAGAGACCTACCGGCAGAAGGACGGTTTACCTGAGGGGTGCGTAGGTGGAGCGGCATGAGTCCTGATGGGGTGTCGGCCAGCACGTTGAAGTGGGGGGTGGGCGGTGGTCCCATGGCCATCGGCCGGCTTTCCGGATCCACTTGGTAATTGATCAGGCCCCACTGCTCCAGAAAGGCGTGGACCCTACAAGAGGGACAGTGGGTGAATGGGGGGGGGGGGGGGGCCCCCAGGGGGCGGGTTGCAACCGGTTTGCAACAGTTTGGGTGAACTGGTTGCTAATTTAACATCTGGTTCCCCGAACTGGTAGTTGCAATGACTGGCAGGCCCCGCCCACTCCTCCCGTCCCCGGAGTCTCCACACAGCCCATTTTGGATCGCAGGTAAGTGCAGGGTCTGTGTGGAGGCTGGGGGGCGAGGGGGGGGTAACAAACAAGCCTCCTGGAGATTCCAGGCCCGTTTCCGCCCTCCAGAGGCCTCCAGCTTTTAAAGCCCTGGGAGTGCAAAAATGTCGTCCCCCTCATGTGCCCCCTGCCCCCGCCGCCCCTAGGGTGGTGCAGGAGACACTCATCATGGCCACGCCCATCCAGCAACTGTGATCCCCTTGCTCCACATAAAGAAAGGAGACCTCTGCAGGCCTGACATCATCCACCCCTCCCCCTTGTCCCCCCCACATTAACACAGATGCACAGACACGGCAATGACTACCTCATCACGGCACAAACGTCCCCAGTTAAGTTTCTTCGACAGGCCGTGCTGGTCAAATATTCCTGAGGGTTCAACCGGTAGGTGTCGATCATGAAATTGCGGTAAGCTAAGTATCTGGGAAATATGAAAAGAAGGAGACAACCAGTTAAGGTAGGTTGGGGGTTGGGGTGTCTACCTGTATGCGTTAATTGTGCTTGTTTTTTAAAAAAATACTTTTATTGTACTTTTTTCATTATTATTCATCCCATTTCCAAATTTTGCAACAGCAGCGTACTGGCTCTGTCAAGTCCTTTTTAAATATCCATCCATCCATCATAGTTTGTCTGCCTCTATTCCCTCCCACTGATCCATCGTCTGTCTATCCAACTAGCTTCTTTCTCCCATCCATCCATCATCTGTCTGTCTGTCCATCTATCTTCTCTCTCCCATCCATCCATCCATCCATCCACCCATTCCCCCCTCTCATCTATCTATCTTCTCCCTCACATCTATCTATCTATCTATCTATCTATCTATCTATCTATCTATCTATCTATCTATCTATCTATCTATCTATCTATCATCTGAAAATAAAGGTAAAGGTTTCCCTCGCACATATATGCTACTCATTTCCGGCTCTTACAAAGCCGAAGAGCCAGCGCTGTCCAAAGACGTCTCCAGGCTCACATGGCCGGCATGACTAAATGCCGAAGGCGCAGGGAACATTGTTCCCTTCCCACCAAAGGGGTCCCTATTTTTCCACTTGCATTTTTTACGTGCTTTCGAACTGCTAGGTTGGCAAGACCCTGGGACAAGGAACGGGAGCTCACTCTGTTATGTGGCACCGGGGATTCGAACCGCCGAACTGCCGGCCTTTCTGATCGACGAGCTCAGCGTCTTAGCCACTGAGCCGCCTTGCCCCCTTCATCATGGCATACACCTGGGTTATAACTATTATTCTCACAGTCATACGGTATAGTCTCTTTTAAATAAAGAGTTGTACACCGTAATTATAACTACTCTTTTCATAATTGTATCACAATACTCTTATTACATTTATCACTCTACTGTATGTATGTGCTAATTGTGGTAGGTGGCATTACCAAGAGATGAAAAGGTAGAGGAGGAGGAGGAGGAGGAAGGCCAGACTGTGAGGTCCTTGGCCCTGAGCTGGGTTTTGTCTTGCAGATGTTTCATGACC